CTACTACAATACATTTTTCTCAGTGTTTTCTCCTTCCTCTCTCTCACTCAAAGACTGACTAGACCGTCGGAGGGGATACGCCGGAAAACACTCCGGCGCCCTTCTAACTTGTTCTTCTTTGTTCCAGGAACCCCTTTCATCCTCACAGGATCGTTCTTCCTTTCCCAGGATCCCCCGTTGCCGTTCCGGGTTACTGCCGCACCTTGCAGGTTGTTCCAAGCAGCGTGTTTGGTCACTCCACCCGCTCACTCGAGTTCACCAGGGGAGAGATCTGTTCTCGTTTTTTATATTGTGCAGGATCTTGCACGCACACTTATATATCTCAATTTCTTCTTTTTTCACTTCTTTGGTTGTCGAATCTTTGATGGACAGAAAAATGGAGTGGAGTTGCCGGAGAATAAAAGTGGAGGGGTATCATGTATTTCATAATATCATACATCTAATCAAAGAGATCTAAACTTAGCACTAGCAGTAGTCTATTGTCCAAATAAAAAGGTTACCAGTAGCCCAAACCTGGCCCAATTGAGGGGTCCCCCCCCCTCCCCCCCCCACAACCACCCACAAACACCCCCACACACACCACCAGTACACTCGAAGTTATTTTTTCTTTTGCAGGGAGGGATACATCTAACATTTTTACATTTAAGGTGAACATAGAGAGGAAGGTTCAGCAACTGAAGTTGATGTCATTGGTTAGGGTATATTGATTAAAATAAGTTTGGACACAGTTCAACTCCACAGCTTCAATGTTAAGTTGTTAACCTTGTCAATGAATTCATATCCAGCAACTGCCTCCAAAACTACACTCTATAGATGGCAAATGATCTATTAGCGAGAGAAAATGTAGGTAAAGGGAACTTGGATCCGTCGGATGCATCTCTGAAAGCACCCCTGAATGCATTTCCTTGAGCAACCCCAAGCCCCAAATCTACACCATATGTCAATGTTAAGTGTATCAGAAAGAGATCAAATGCTTCATTTTGGCACCTTTCTTCCGCAAAACATCCATCAACAAATAAACAAATTTGGATAAGCCTGGGGGTCAGCCAACAGCTTTATATTTGCTTAATCGCCATTGTTTTTTCATTTTTCTGAAAATTCATACTGCAATTTGGTTCCTCGACAACACGATTAACAAAAAAAACATGAGAAGTCTAAAGGGTCTAGAGAATTTTGAAGCATATATTGAACATATTAGAAGAATTTGTCTCTAGTTTACAATTAGGAATGTGGAAAATAAATGTCACACTTATCAACCAGAAGAAAGCCTTTAGAAGAGAAGACAACGCCCAAAAAGAAAATGTACACACATCAAAACTTCAATTTTATTGTCACAAAAGGAACACTAATAGGTAGAAAGAATGCATAGCTCCACAAGTTCTCTGCATAAGGCCATTCACAGGTCAAAAACCAGTTTCTCATCCTAGGATGGTCCTCATTTAAAACCATGGAAAGCAGCATCCCTGAGAAAAAGAGGANCCTATTGATCTGCTCATCGCCTTTTACCTTATATTTCCCTGACCCCGAAGGACCAGCATGAGGATTCTCGGGAACAGGGCGACGACGAGGCATCTCTAAAAAAGTAAGAAAGAAGAGGGTATATGTCCTTGAAAATCCCTGAGGAAGTTTCCCGAGGGTTTAAATCCCTATGTACCGACCGGATGACACCTCCAGTCAATCGGAAAACAAAAGGCTAGGAGGAAGAACAGAAAGAGGATTCTGGAACTCACCCGAACGTCCAAAATGGAGTTTTTCCTGGAAAAACCTTAAAGCANGAGAAAGAGAAAGCATATGAATTAGATGACTCATGAATGCCAAACCAAAGTGCATCAAAATTTTCTCCCAGGTTGACCTCTCAATCCAGCCAACCCATCTGAATTGCACCCCTACATACGAAGCCATTTGATTGACNGAGAAAGAGAAAGCATATGAATTAGATGACTCATGAATGCCAAACCAAAGTGCATCAGAATTTTCTCCCAGGTTGACCTCTCAATCCAGCCAACCCATCTGAATTGCACCCCTACATACGAAGCCATTTGATTGATNAGGCTAGGAGGAAGAACAGAAAGAGGATTCTGGAACTCACCCGAACGTCCAAAATGGAGTTTTTCCTGGAAAAACCTTAAAGCAACTCCCTCTAGAAAGTTCAGAAATCAACAATGGGTCTGCTGGCTTTAAGATTTTGAGGGAGAAAGGGCAATCGACGATGGCAGAAGAAACAAAACTCCGGCGAAGATTGAAGAAGACGTACTCTGGAGAAAGTTCGAAATGGCAAAACGAAGGAAACCAGATAGGAACCCCCTATATATAGGGGCAAATTTTCATCATTGGGTGGGAAAACCGAAACGGCGCATTTAATGCGCACGACATCCCAAGCCGGGGAAAGCGGCTCGAGGCCATGATGAAGGACGGGTGGTAGTTGGGAAACCCTTCGTCTCCTTACAACGCATGTCCTCGGTGTCAGAAGATCGAAGGCAGGGGGGCAGTTGATGGGACTTTTCTGAAAAACCGTATGATGAAGACACGTGTCCTCGGGGTTTACTAAAACACTGTTGCTTGGATCAAGCACCATCGGCGAACGAATGTCCTCGCCCCCGAGGTACCTCATATAGGATCATGCATTCAGTATATTTTTACAACCAACACGTGTCCTCGGTCACCTATGTACCTCGGTCGCATACCTCCCTCGGTCCCCGAGATGAGCCTTTCCTCGGTGCCGAGAGTTACTCCGTCCTGGACGCTTCCTCTACTCCATGATAAGCTATTGACGTGCAGGACACTAGCCTAGGCTAGTCTAGGCTATTCATCATGACCTCGTCTTACACAAGTAATGTCAGAACATACTGGAATACCGAGGTCACAGCCAATAGGGGATGGACGCGTGGCAAATAATGTCATATCAAAGACAGACAAACCGCATGCCGTTGCTGACACACGGCTTGGGAAAGCAAACAATTAATTGCACCCTTCCGTTGATGAGACCGCATTCAATGCGGTAAGGCTCGGAAATGAAAGGCAATAAATGCTCCTATTACAGAGCATTTATTGCATCCTCCCCGAGAGGAGCACATTGTACCGTCGGCATCCCGACGACTCAGCATTGATTGCTCGGGACCCCGAGCAGTTAATTAGAGAAGACATTCCTCATCAGAATCAATGCACACGCTACCTGTGCCTAATGATCACCTACTGACCACGCTGACAACAATCATGAGCTTTTAAGGTATAAATACTCTTTGCAAAAGGCAACGCGGGTATGCCAACAAAAAACTCTCTACTACAATACATTTTTCTCAGTGTTTTCTCATTCCTCTCTCTCACTCAAAGACTGACTAGACCGTCGGAGGGGATACACCGGAAAACACTCCGGCGCCCTTCTAACTTGTTCTTCTTTGTTCCAGGAACCCCTTTCATCCTCACAGGATCGTTCTTCCTTTCCCAGGATCCCCCGTTGCCGTTCCGGGTTACTGCCGCACCTTGCAGGTTGTTCCAAGCAGCGTGTTTGGTCACTCCACCCGCTCACTCGAGTTCACCAGGGGAGAGATCTGTTCTCGTTTTTTATATTGTGCAGGATCTTGCACGCACACTTATATATCTCAATTTCTTCTTTTTTCACTTCTTTGGTTGTCGAATCTTTGATGGACAGAAAAATGGAGTGGAGTTGCCGGAGAATAAAAGTGGAGGGGTATCATGTATTTCATAATATCATACATCTAATCAAAGAGATCTAAACTTAGCACTAGCAGTAGTCTATTGTCCAAATAAAAAGGTTACCAGTAGCCCAAACCTGGCCCAATTGAGGGGTCCCCCCCCCTCCCCCCCCCACAACCACCCACAAACACCCCCACACACACCACCAGTACACTTGAAGTTATTTTTTCTTTTGCAGGGAGGGATACATCTAACATTTTTACATTTAAGGTGAACATAGAGAGGAAGGTTCAGCAACTGAAGTTGATGTCATTGGTTAGGGTATATTGATTAAAATAAGTTTGGACACAGTTCAACTCCACAGCTTCAATGTTAAGTTGTTAACCTTGTCAATGAATTCATATCCAGCAACTGCCTCCAAAACTACACTCTATAGATGGCAAATGATCTATTAGCGAGAGAAAATGTAGGTAAAGGGAACTTGGATCCGTCGGATGCATCTCTGAAAGCACCCCTGAATGCATTTCCTTGAGCAACCCCAAGCCCCAAATCTACACCATATGTCAATGTTAAGTGTATCAGAAAGAGATCAAATGCTTCATTTTGGCACCTTTCTTCCGCAAAACATCCATCAACAAATAACCAAATTTGGATAAGCCTGGGGGTCAGCCAACAGCTTTATATTTGCTTAATCGCCATTGTTTTTTCATTTTTCTGAAAATTCATACTGCAATTTGGTTCCTCGACAACACGATTAACAAAAAAAACATGAGAAGTCTAAAGGGTCTAGAGAATTTTGAAGCATATATTGAACATATTAGAAGAATTTGTCTCTAGTTTACAATTAGGAATGTGGAAAATAAATGTCACACTTATCAACCAGAAGAAAGCCTTTAGAAGAGAAGACAACGCCCAAAAAGAAAATGTACACACATCAAAACTTCAATTTTATTGTCACAAAAGGAACACTAATAGGTAGAAAGAATGCATAGCTCCACAAGTTCTCTGCATAAGGCCATTCACAGGTCAAAAACCAGTTTCTCATCCTAGGATGGTCCTCATTTAAAACCATGGAAAGCAGCATCCCTGAGAAAAAGAGGAGAAAGAGAAAGCATATGAATTAGATGACTCATGAATGCCAAACCAAAGTGCATCAAAATTTTCTCCCAGGTTGACCTCTCAATCCAGCCAACCCATCTGAATTGCACCCCTACATACGAAGCCATTTGATTGACAATAGTAAAAATCCGCATACCTTTTGATTACCATTGGTACTTTGCTTCTTCATATGGTTGTAGGATGGATCAGTAACTGTGCTTGTCGAATTCCCACCCTCAGCTTGCTTTTCCTGTCGCTTTCTGTTGAAAATATCAGTGTAGTTATCAGCTGATGAAGGGTTGTTCACATCCCAGTCTCCAAATCTTGGAATTGCAGCAGCTTTATCAACCTGCCGTTACAACAGGAATTATTCCAGGGGAGACAGGCTTATGCATGACAGATGCTAGACAATTGAGGGAGTTAATCAAACAAATGGTTCCAAAATTGTGCTTTATTATGTTTGGATGATTGAAAATTAGCGATGAAACTTACACTTTCATCTCGCCGAGTGACTGGCTTGAGTCTGGATCTTCCAGGAGTACCATGGCTACTGTCATACGAGTTCTTTCCTTCCGAGGCAGGAGATCCACTGCCCTTCCCCATAAGCTTTGCCTGGTGATGTGGATGGTCTGTGGACCGGTCAATGCTATGCTCAGATCCTGCACTTTGCCTAACAGGTCGACCAGAATTTGATCCACGGCCCCCATTATATTGATGCACTGACTCACTAGAATGTCTATTGCCCAAATTTGCATTACGCGCTGGAGAATCAGTGAACTGCCTAAGGTTACCATCCTCCCTGCTGCTCACTGGACGCTCATGTGTTGGCCTAACTGCTCTACGACCAGTTGGTTCCCCTGGATCGGTTCCAATTCTGGAAGGAGGAGCTTGATCTAGAGGAGGAATGTTTGCAAACAAATCACGGTTCTCTTGGGGGTCATTTGGGTTGATCATCTTCCCACCCTTTTTACCCTTCCTCGCATTGTCGAAATAGATTGTGTAAGGAACAGCACCTTCATTTTCCCAGTTACCAAACTGTGGTACATTTGGACGCTGCTGTGACAATGCCAATTGCCAAAAAATACTATTAGCCATTTCATCTTGAAAACCACTCCCATTTTTCCAATAAACAAATTCTTGACAGGGCCAGAGGTATTATCATTTATCTGTTTTTATGGTTTTCCATCTACCAAGACATTCCAATTTTCAAGTGTACATTAAGTCTATCTTTCACTATGGTATCATGAAAAATGAAACATGTCCATATAGTATATCAAGAATTGTTTGCAATAATGAGCAGTTCTGGTTCAGTTTGTAGAACAACACGACAACATTATTGCCTATTTCCATCCAACAATGGAAAACATCAAAAACAAAGAAATACAACAAACTTCAAAGATTGACCATGAATTTAGTTTTGGGTAAATGATATACCATGAATTTGTTCTGACCAAGCAAATGGAAGGAAGTTCCAAACTACTTTTAGTGGTGGAGACACAAACAATCCAGATGATTTGGACCAAACCTAGTCAATAATATTACTCTCTCCCTAATGCTCCGTTTAGTGTGATAAAAAAAATAAAAGGATGAAAAGTTGGAGGGATAAATAAAACATCATGTTTGGTAAGAAATGATGAAAAAGTAGATAAATTAACTTTTTTTTTAACTCACCAAAATTAATCCCTCTAAAATCGGAAGGAAAGCAGATGGAAAGTTAATTATTTGTGTTAAGATGTACTTTATTTGTCTATATATTATGTATATATTAATTTTATATATATTAAAAAATTTTAAAATTAAATTAAAAAAATATTTTTTTTATTTTAAATAGGGGTGAAAATTTTTAACTCAACAGATGACACGACTCAAGCTCGACGCAAATTTTATGACACGAACTTGATTATTTCTCGACACGAACTTGAAAATCAACTGATATGCGAACAAGAAATATAAAAAATTCATAATTTTATGACTCAACACGAATCTGACACGACACGACTCAATTGTTACTCTAATCTTAATCAACACAAAAAAAATTAAAAAAAAAATTAGTCATTTTTATTTTCCATCCATCCAACCGAACACAAAGGAAGGAAAATATATTATTTATACTTTTCATTCTTGCAATATAGAAAATGTATCCATCTTACTTTCCATCCTTCTTATTTTCCATCATTCCTATCAAACGAAACGTAAAGATTAGTGGTGTCACAAAAAAACCTTGACAAATAAAGGACTGTCGAAACTGAGTTCCTGATTATATAGCTTCGAACATAATCAAATATTTCACCACAACAAACATGCCAATCTAGACTTGATTTACCAATCAAACATCGATGATTTCCCAAGATAATCAAACTGTCATGCCAATATAGACTCAATTTACCAATCAAACACTTAACAACGTCCAGATTCAGACATAATAATTATTTTTTCTTCCAGTATAAATAAGTAACCGGCTTGTCTTATTATCTTCAAAGCATCCAAATCCTTTATTCATTAAATAATACCAAAACACTCAATCTAACATTGGATCATTGATGAACAACAACCACCATTCCAAGCAGAACAAAACAAATTTACTAACACCATATGAACAAAAGCCATAAAATATTCTAAAAAACAAAGTTCTACAAACAGCACAATGCAGCCCAAAACATGAGAATTTCGTCTGATTCGAACTTTTTTTTTTATCAGGTCTGATTTCGTGTCATTTGAACTTAAAACATCATAAAAGCAGTTCAGAAAAATAGAAAAAAAAAAAAAAAACGATGTTACAACAGAATAGAAACAAAACAGAATGTAAACTTACTGCCATTTCTCTCAAAAAGCTTCTTGTGAATGAAAACGAGAAAAGGTAAGAAGTGTCCTTCAACAAAACGCAATCTTTCTGATCACGGATTCAAAGCACCTCCAAAGAGAACCTCAACAACCCCAAAAAGAAGAACAGACCGAGAGACAGAGAGACAGAGTGTTTTAGACTTTTAGAGATAGGAGTTGAGAAACAGAGAGACATGGGGAAGTTTATAAACCATTGGCCGACGTGTGCCACCGGTTATTGTTGACTATTCGCCTCTCTAGACTCCGTCGTCCCATGTTAGTCTTCGCTTCCTTGTGGGTTTCGAAAGTCTTCCCCCAACGCATCGACTAACAAGTTGTTAAAAAAAAAAAACTGACAAGACTTTTCCTTTCCTTTTCTCTTTGGTAATTCCGAAAGTCTCTGAATAAACCTCTCTGTCCCAATTATTCAGTGGCCAAAACAGGGTTGTGGGTTTAGTTTTCTCTCGCATAGGAAAATTTTTTCATGTTTTTCCAATCGCCGCAGTCACATTATGTCAATAATGTTAGGTGATACAACAATTAAAAATTAATTTAATAATTAAATAAATTAAATTCTATTCTTTCAAATAATCACTGAATATATAAGCTAATAACCGTTATATGTAATAGTTACTCGAGGTGGGGTGGGAGTAAATATTGGGTGTCACCATGGTGTAATCATCAAATAAAAAAATATAAAATAGATAAAATGTACCCCATTTTTCTATATAGAATAGTTATTATATGACATGGACAAATAGTTATTTAGGCTCCGTTTAGTGTAATTTTTCAAAATAAAAGTTAATTTTATAAATAGACAGTTACCGAGTTTATCTAACTCATTTTTTATAAATGAGTTTAAAAAATTATTCAAATTTGACTAATTTTCTTATTGATAGAAAACGAGTCGAGCCTAAACGAGCTGAATCTGAACCAAATCCGAATATTTACACATAAACGAATCGAACGTATCGAATTTAAGCCGAGTCTTTAGAGCTTGTTTTTTAAATAAGTCTAAAAAATTATTTAACTAAATGATCCGAGATTAAACGAGCTCAAAACGAGTCGAACCCGCGCTGAGCTCGGATAGTTGGTTCCATTATCAATAATAGATGAAATCCATTTATCCATTTGTTGTCTGATTAGTAGACAGTTGCTCAACGTGATTACTTGGCGCTACATTAAAATCCATTTTTTTTTTGTTGGAGGCGGGAATATACAGCACGTTTACAATAAGAAGTTTGGGTGGCTGGCTTGAAGACTTCATCTCTTCTGGTGAATCAACGCCCCCTTAACAATTCATGGCAGCTGTCTTGATCTTGGGGTTACAATGTTGTACATTTGCCTTTTGTTATTTAGAAAAATAAGATAAATTACATTTTATACCATAAAAGATTTTAATATTCTCAATTTATATCTTTAAACGTTAGTTTTTCATATTACACCATAAATATCAAAAATTATTTACAATAGAACCCTGACACTAATATTTGTTCATGTTTTCATCAAATCTTACTACACAACCCACATGTATATTTTATCTAGAGATAACAATCTTAATCTTTTAGTTATTAATCCGTCTAACTCGCTCATATATAAATGAGTTGGATACATATATTAATTAATATGGATTCTAAATTGATTGGATAATATGATTCATTTTAGTTAAGCGGATTAAATGGATAGCCATTGAGTTGAGTATTTATCTTTTTATTAAATAGTACAAGTAATAAAATTAAATAAACATATTAATATACTAAAAAAATACACACACTATTACACAAAAAAATACACACATATATACTAATATATTAAAATATAGACATGCTAGTACACCAAAAACATACACACTAATACACTACCCACGACTCATGATCCATGACCCATGACAAACCCATAGCCCACAATTGACTCTGACTCATTATATGTGTATTTTGTTTTATTAAATGTGTTTTAGTTTTTGTGTTAGTATATGTGTGTGTATTTTTAGCATATTATCGTGTATATTTTAAATGTATTAGTTTGTGTTTGTTTTGGTGTATTTGTGTGTGTTTGTATGTTTATATTTTGGTGTACTATTAATATGTGTGTGTATATATTTTTTGTGTTCTAATGTGTCTCTTAAGAATTTTAATTATTTTATGGGTTAATTGATTTTACTCAACTCATTATAAACCCAACCCATTATAATCCATTTACTACGTGAATAAAAAATAGATTGAATTTATTTTAACCCAATCTAATTTAACTCAAATCATAACCCGTCCAACCTACCAATTTGCCACCTCTAATTTTATCCTTTTGAATTTAGAGAATCAATAACATCCGTTCATTATAATCCACTCGATCCCTAGTTTACCATTGTAAGGGTAAAAGTTGGCACCATCAAAATTGATTACATCCCATACCTCTTGACTCTTTCAAGACCTGAAACCATCATATCGGAGACTAAGAAAATGTCAATTATCAATGATCCATCGAGCTCTTATGTTTACGTCAACGGTGATTTGGTCAAAGAATAGTGTATTTGACTTATTGGTGGTGGGTTTAATATTTTTTGGCATTTATTCGACAGTAAGTGATAAAGTTGCGAATGGTAGTTGTCAGGGTAATCTTGGTGGAGATCTTCAGATGGGGAAGACAATATTGGAGTATAGTTTGAATTGTTTGCGTATCAAGCAAGGTTTTGATGAATATTTTTTGTTAGTACCGCACCATTTATCATTTTTTGGGTATCTGTATTAGTTTTTAGGTAGAATTTACTAATTTTTTGAGTGCACTTTTTTTTTTGGGTTCGCTTATCATTTTTAAAATTCACTTACCGCCTTTTAGGGCGGAGATTATCACTTTTTGAGATTGAATTCATTATTTTTGGAGTTTTTTTTTTTTAACTTTTTAGTATGGTATCAAAAAATTTAAAAATAGTTTTATTATGTTTTTCATCAAATAACCCAATGATGCGTGGGTAAGTTAGCCTAAATATTCCTGATTATTGAACCAAAAATAAATAAATAAATAGTCTAGCTTATCGAAGTCAATTTAGAGAGAAATGTAAAATCGGACATTATAAGTTTGACCTTGTTGAGATATATGAGTTTATGCAAATCTCCACTGAACTTGGGTCTAAAGACTAAACACCAAGATGAAAACTTTGCCTTATGTTGGGCTTCATATGGTTCCTTTCACTTCAATTCTATCTCATGTTTTTCGTATTCTTGACCATATATTATTTGTTTTTGATGGTGTAATTGTAATAAAATTGAAAAGTAAAGTAC